AAAAAAAAAAAAAAAAAAAAAACTTCACCTCTACAATGAAACAAGAGTCCAGGACAAAAGGGGTTGCTCATATGGTCAGCATCCTCCACCTATAATCTCAGGGTCGTGGGTTCGACTCGTAACTCCAACAAAGGAGAATCAAAGGGGGAGTCAAATNTCCCCGAAAAGAATTGATAATTACAAAGAGTAATTTAACACTCTTAACATGGTGTCATACCGTACGCTTTTGGTCAACGCCACACGGTCTTCCCAAAAAGTCTCACGCCATTAGCATTAAGAATATCTCATAGATTCTTTTTTTCCTTTATCAACTTCCAAAGTGACACTCTATTCGCACACCCAATATATGTATGCCCTAGATTGCTAGTAGTTCATGTTGTGTTTATACTATTTTTTCGTTTTCACAGTACCTTGCCATTGTTATTGGTTATTGATATTATTTTTTTCCATCTATTTTCTGGTTCTTATGATGCTGGTATTATCTTTTTGGTCTCTGTTGTTGTTACTGATTTACTGTCTCTTTTTGTCTTCTTGAGCCGAGGCTCTATCAGAAATAACCTCTCTGCCCGACCAGATAGGGATAAGGCCTGCGTACACACTACCCTCTCCAGACTCACTTGTGGGATTATACTGGGTTGTTGTTGTTGTTAGGTGTTGTACATCAAATTCCTCCTCACTAACTTAGAACATAAAGAAAACAATAAACTAGAAATTATTATAGAAACTAAAAGACCATACATTTAAAGCACAACCTAAGACACATATTCATATCCATACACCTATGGCTACAAACACATACAAACAGATGGGGAATGAAGTGAAATATTACCTCTAATTTTTGGAGGGTCAATTTTTTTCTGAGAAATTGACTGAAGTTTTTCATCAAGTTTTCTCAAAGCTTCACGGGCCTTATCTTGGTCAACTTCAAATTCAGAATCTTTTTCCACTGCTTCAACCAAAGGAAACTTTTTTCTTCTTTTTCTGGTGTTCTTGATTATATCCCATCTCTTTAAACCAGAACAAGAAACTGAGGTACTTGAATGGCTGAGGAAGAATATAGAAGGATTGTGCAAATGGTTTGTGTGAATTGAAAGAGAATGGTGAAGATGCAGCATTTGAAGCTCACTGTCACAGGGCACAAGGTATATGGATAAAGAGGTATATTGCACTTATGTGTTTTTTTTCCCTAATTTTATTTGGCTTATTAAAAGATCTACTCTTTTGGGGTTTATGGAAAATGGAGTGTGAAAATGTAGCTAATGATGATTCTACTCTTAAAATGACCATACAAATAAAGCCTTTAACATTTGTCTATTAGCAATAGCCAATAAACCAATATTTCAAATTAACTTATCCTTTGGTTGGTGGATAAAGTTATTCAAAATTATAATACATAGCATTAGTTTGTACTACAAGAATTAATACTTTTTGAATTATTAGTACATACAATACTTTTATAATATATTTGGCTATATATTAAAAAAAAATTGGATGTACCTTGTATAACATACAAGTTTATATATCTGACCCTTGGTTTTCAAGTAAATAAAAACAGAAATATGAACTCAATAATATTATTTTGGTACTTCAAAAATCTTATCTCTGTAACACTTTTAATTATCTCATATTAAATCCGTAAATTTCCCAAACCAACTTTTTCTTGAAATATATTTTTAACTTGAAATACTTCACCTAACAACTTAAATAATTCTCATTTGCATGTCATGTTATATAAGGTCACAGCCTAAGTGCCAATAAGGGCTCGTTTGGTATGAGTATGAGGGACAAGGGATAATTAATCCCAGGATTAAATTTGAGATAAGTTTATCCGATGTTTGGTTGGGATAAAATTGGAGTATAACTAAATATTAGTTATGTCGGGATTATAGTATTCTTTTATCCCTGTGGGAAGGTGGAATGAATAATTAATCGTGGGATAACTTGTTTCGACCAAATGACCCCTAATAGTAGACCCTGAGATTTCACATTGACTATCGAGTCTTGTCTTGGAGGAATATAACCAGCAGCTTCCTTCATGTTTCTATGCAATTTCTTTCTTCTTTTATTTTTTATAATATATTGTTGTCACCTAAAGCTCCTTCTCCAGACCCCAAGAATAGGTTACAACATGATAATTTGAACATATACAAGAAACCAGACAAAACTATAGAGTAAGGAAAACACGCACGTGTTGTGATTCTCGGATCAATATGAAGATTATTTGGGAGGAAAAACAACTCTATTTCACAAGAATAGAATTATAGAGAATTTACACCAAGAATTTCTCTCTACAAAAAACCTCACCAAACTCTCTTTTTGTTCTCACAATCTCTTCCTGGATTGTATTTCAATCTCTCTGGATTGATGTTTCTGTGTAAAACATAAGGCTCTATTTATAGCCTTAAAGAAGGTGGTTGGTGGTTGAATTCTTCATTCAACAATGGAGGCTTCAACAATGGTGGCTTCTAGAATGGGTTGGTGGCTTCAATAATGGTGGGCTTCTAGAATTGGTAGTTGGCAGCAGCTGAACTTATCAATTCTCCCCCCTTCAGCTGCATTCCAACGCAGCTACTATTTGAAAGTTATTCCAACTATGTCTCTGCAC